AAAAAAACTGAGCTGATCCTATAATACAACACCCGTCCTTTAAAGAGCTGAGCGGCAAATGGTTTTAGCCAGACAATCGATAAAGAGATTTGCAAGGGGAGTGTGCAGATCTCTTTATTATGAGCCTTTATTAGGAGTCTTTTGTTAAAGCTGTTGTATTTTTGAGGCTCACCTTAAAAAAGCAACAAAAGAAAAAAAAAAAAGAGAGCTGATTCAGAAAAACTTTGGAGAAAATAGAGGGAGAGAGAAAGAGAGACATAAGGGTGAAACTGATCCCTGTTGACCCCTTCGGCATGCCCCCTTTCTTTTTATGACTTTCCCCCGAATCATCACTCACCAGCTCTATCAACACGGGCCGGCCTCCACTCACACACATCCACACTTGAACACACGTAGAACATTAGCTAATGCTTGTGCCTTTAAGGTCTCCTTAGACTGAGGAATTTTTTTATGCTTTAAGGTGATTGTTAAACTCCAGAATCCTTTGAAAATGTTGAAGCTATGATTTATATATAAAAATATTGCAAAACGAGACTGTAAAAATTATTTGAGGTCTTTATACAGAGGCTAGCCGTGTGAAAACACGGATGGACTATTCAAACACTGTTTGGCTACTAACTCTGCACCTGTGTTCCTGCACAGCCTCTGGGGTCTCCCTTTATGGCTTAGACTAAATTAGATGGACCAAATGCATTTCTGCACATGCTTAAATACATAACTGCTGCTGACTGCGGTATTTATAGTGGGACTCTATTTAGCACTGTTTGAGATGGTGGACTGTAAATCAGGGGAGAGGAAACACAACTGGTAAGGCGTTGCTGAGAAATGGTAATTAACACTCAGATAGGCTGGGCTTAGTTTAAGGCTGGGGCTGAATATGCCTTTGAGAGAAAGTCACCTCGACTCTAGAATGATTATTAATGACAGTCATTGAAGTGTCTGCAGAGTTTGGTCGACCTGAAAAGCGTCCCTTGAACTCACCACAGTTAGCATTTTCAATCATCACAGTTTAAAGAGGAAAAGTCGCTGAATCTTTAAAGTGTCTAAACACAATCTAACAGTTTTCTTCCTGAGAGAGAGAGAAGAGAAAATACACACGCAGGGTTTTCAAATCATTTTAAGGAGTCTAAGCTGCCAATTCGTCTGTGGGCACATGAAAAGAAATAAAAACACGGGACAGATGTTAGAGCAAAAACCACATTCAAACGTTGTCACAAACTGATTTTTTTTTTTTCAAATGATTGGGGCACATCTATTAAATAAAGTGCAGCTAGATGGGTATAATACAGCCAGAGCATGAGGAAATATTTAAACAGCCAATTGGAGCCAATTAACTTTGATCACAGTGACTGCATTTGGAATCTTTGTCACTTGTCCGTCTGAAAGAGTTTGCACATATTTTCCCGTCTCCTGGCTGACTGTTTGAGTATTTTCTTTTCTCTTTTTTTTTGACAGGCTTTTTTTCTTGTAACGCAGCTGAACTTGGCGGTAAGTAAGTAATGAGACTTAGCAGACTAGCTATAGATCTCTTCGCCCTTAAGTATCAAGGAAAACATTTCCCCTTTTGTGAGGTAAGCAAATATAAGGACACTAAAGAAAACTAGGGAGTCATTTAGACCAGGGGGAAGAAATTTGGATAAAAAAGTAAAAACATAAAAAAGTACTACAAAATTAAACTAAGTTGAGCAAAACGTTTTAATTAAGTTTTTAAGCTTATTTATTTGTACTAATATATAAAAAAAAGTTTTCCTTTACACTTCTGGTCCTTTTCTCTTTCTCTGAGTATTCATTTATATATAAACATATATGTCTACATTTATGAAGGAATATTGGGATAACTACTGCAAAGAAATTTACAGAGTTTTCCAAAATAATTCAGACCAGTTAATCTATTTCCCATTTTTAACATCATGACAACATTTATTATACTTTGCAAAGATTTTACCTAATAAACATCTGAATTACATGCTCTCCATACATATTCCTCCATTCACCCTTAGAGGCAGTTAAAGTAAATATTTTGTCCTTTTTTTTTTTTTGCAAAAATAACTCAAGATCAGTTAGATTAGATTCTCAATTGGATTTGGGTCTTTAAGTTTGAAATTCCACACAGGGGTAAATTTAAACGTCTTGCTTGTTGGCTCTGCTTGTTTCGGGTTAAGGTAATTTCCTGCAGTCTCAAAAATACTGCTGCCTTTAAAATGTGTCCCTTAACTGATCTGATGGATCTACCTCACAACCCTGAGTAGAGCTCTACACTTCCCCTGCCAAAGAAATGACTCCACAGCATAATGCTGACGCTGTTGTGTTTTGAGGGAGATGTGCTGTGTTAGCAGAAACGCCATTTTGCAAGTAGGCCAAAATGTTGAAAACTCTATTTCTCTCTTTTCTATTACACTGTCATGTTCACTACCTCAAGTATTTGATATTACGCCATGATTTGGGTGAATACTAGATACTGACTGGCTTAGGGCGTCCATTAAAAAGAATTGAAGGACACCTATAAAAAGTTCTGGTTAAATAGCATGATTGTTCTAAATAACTGTTGGGTCAAACGTTAGTTTGAAATGGCAAGACTGTAGACAAAACAAGAGGGTTTTATAATTTCCTTTTAAAACAATTTTATCTGTGGACTTGACTCACACAAGCTGTAAGAGATGCACTTTCCCTCTTGCAGCAGTAATTGCAGAAATTAAAAAGGGGACGGCATTACACATTCAATTGTCTTGATGACCAATTAGGATTGCTGATTACAAAACAGCAAACACTTTCTTCCCTTTTTTAACATCTCCCCATATGGTTTATATTATTGTACTTCATTTTATTATGTATTTTCAATGCATTTTATCTAAAGTGTTTAGTTGTATGTTTTCCTGTGACTTTTAAAAAATTCTTTCAAACTGTTATTATTGAGAGCATCTTACAATCTTTAAATTATATTGAAATTCCTCTGTATATTGGTTAATCGTTTTTAATTCATGATTTTTTAATATTTTTCTTGTTATCTACTTTCCTCAGAAATATTGTGTTACAAGAGGGGAACCTTTAACCTGTCTGCCTGGAAACTAATAAATCCTCCCTATATAAATGATAAACTTAATCTTGTCTGATAATTGTTTAAGTGCTGATTTATTCTGACAGAAGAATTGATTCTTTCTGATCGATAAAGGGCAGGAGGAGAGCAAAATGCTTTATAATTCTCTGAAAACACATACAAATGTTCAAATCTCCGCACAACCTCTGCCAGCCGATCTTCAAACTAAATATTACATAACAGTTCTCCACCTGAAATAAGGGGTGGGAGGCAAATTCATCTGAATCCTAACCAATAACACAACTGTTCATGGGCACATACTGCAAAAAAAAATAAAAAATCTTCCCAGATGCTGCTGAGAACAATCGGCGAGAACCACCAAGGTGAGGCTGCAAGGACAAATTTGCATCATTTTTTTTACTTCTCATGGAGTATGTAGCAGCCTTTAGGCTAACTAAAAGTCCTTCAAACTATTCCTAACATTTGTTTCCGGCTTGTGACTCCTAGGACAAATTAGAAACCTAGAGGAAAGAGCATTTTCCATTGTTGGCCCTTAGCTGTCGAATGCTCTGCCCCGCAATATACACATGTCCCAAATCGCATCTTAAGACTTTCTTTTATTCTCTGGCTTTTAGCATTACATAAGTTGTGTTGTCCCCTTTTTATTTTATTGTTTGAAACAGTTTTATTGATATTTATTGTTTTATACTGACCTTGTTGTGTGTGCAGCACTTTGCAAATGTTTTGTCATTTCAATGTGCTATATAAATGAAGTGGATTAAATTGGATTTAGGAGCTCTCTTAAGAGTTATGGTAATTTGAATAGCTTTTATTGCAAAATTACATGAAAACCCCTTAGATAACATTAATGAAAGCTAATTTTAGTTTTAAGATTGTTTGTGAATATGGGCTTAGGTTTTTAAACCTTGTGACTAAAGCTCTAAGCATCCTGGTCAGATGGGGGAGCTCCATCTACAGGACGCTGCGGCAAAACTGACGAGATTTGAAACCTGTACCAAGATTGGGAAATTCTGAGAGGTCTTTGTGATGCTTGGGTTTGAAAACAGTTTTTTCATCCACACACATACATATACTCGTTTTGCTATATGTAGTGAGGACCATTGTTTGACGGCCATTGGCTTCAACATTTTCTGTGCCTTGACCCTAAAGATAACCCTAAACATACTCATCCTCACCCTATAAAAACCTTAGCCCTTACCCTAACCATTAGCATAATATCTTGTGAGGACCAGCAAAATATCCTCACTTTACAACAACCGGTCCTCAATGTGACAGTGAAAGTGAAAAAATGGTCCTCACTCTGATTCCTTGACAGGTAAACACGCATACACACAATTACGCATTTCTTTATTTTGTCTATTAGATAAAATATTTTTATATAACAAAGTTTCAAAATGTGTGAAAACGTCTTCACCAAACCATAAACCTACCCCTCCTGATCTATGTATTTCTTCACCCCAAGCAAATTTTTTAAAAAGTTAGACAAAAGAAAAAGACCCCTAAGAGAGAGATGGCAGGGGATTCTCTGCAGTGATAGAGGAGTTTGTGGTGTAGGAGGCCAGTTACACCAAGCACACAGCATGACACACTGGCAGACATGAGAGCAACAGAAACATTAGAGCCTGACAAATTGCACTGGCTGCCATGAAAGTGGGAAAGGGGTGGAGGCGGGGGCAGGGCTGGTGACCCAGGAGACTGACAGCACATGTAAAATTCACAGTATCCCTTGGGCACTGAGGTAATACCTCACAGCTATGGGGGATAACTGAGAGACAGGCCTATAAGCAATACACAGTTGTTGCTTCTTTTGCTCAAATTTGACCCATTTGGATTCTGTTGGAATATATCTATGCCTCTGCACCTTTTAAAACCATATCAGCGTAAACAAAGGACATGTTTGCATATTCAACTAACAGAGGAGCAAAGCGCACCCACGGAAACTCACCTCTAAGTCGTTAAAGAATAAGTGTGTGTCTGCCAAGTTGAAGATCATTTCTTCCATCCTTAGTCCTAATGATACAGAAGTTGGAGGGTCCTTAAAGACACAAAAATATCTAAATCAAACAAAGAAATCATTAGTTTTAAAGCGTTTTCTCTTGCACATTAGAGGGATATATATATATCAAATGCAGTAAGTCATGATATTTGCCCTAAATCATTCAATTAACACACAGTCCCCTTACATTCCACCGCAGGCTTGTCCCATAAAAGAAGACCTGAAAGTTTTCTGCCCTTTTAACAACCCTCTGAAAAGGACCAGAATAGTCATCACAAAGGCCACAGACTTAAATGAAGGTCATAAAAATGGGTCTCCTCTCAGGAAGGATAGTTGATTTAAAAGAGCTGGGTCACAGCCCAGAATCATAAACAGCAGCGTTCTTCACATATTTGTGCAGATGCACCATTTGATTCTCTAGCTGATATACACTATATTGCCAAAAGTATTTGCTCACCCATCCAAATTATTGGAATCAGGTGTTCCAATCACTTCCATGGCCACAGGTGTATAAATTCAAGCACCTAGGCATGCAGACTGTTTTTACAAACATTTGTGAAAGAATGGGTCGCTCTCAGGAGCTCAGTGAATTCCAGCGTGGAACTGTGATAGGATGCCACCTGTGCAACAAATCCAGTCGTGAAATTTCCTCGCTCCTAAATATTCCACAGTCAACTGTCAGCTGTATTATAAGAAAATGGAAGTGTTTGGGAACGACAGCAACTCAGCCACGAAGTGGTAGGCCACGTAAACTGACGGAGCGGGGTCAGCGGATGCTGACGCGCATAGTGCGAAGAGGTCGCCAACTTTCTGCAGAGTCAATCACTACAGACCTCCAAACTTCATGTGGCCTTCAGATTAGCTCAAGAACAGTGCGCAGAGAGCTTCATGGAATGGGTTTCCATGGTCGAGCAGCTGCATCCAAGCCATACATCACCAAGTGCAATGCAAAGCGTCGGATGCGGTGGTGTAAAGCACGCCGCCACTGGACTCTAGAGCAGTGGAGACGCGTTCTCTGGAGTGACGAATCGCGCTTCTCCATCTGGCAATCTGATGGACGGGTCTGGGTTTGGCGGTTGCCAGGAGAACGGTACTTGTCTGACTGCATTGTGCCAAGTGTAAAGTTTGGTGGAGGGGGGATTATGGTGTGAGGTTGTTTTTCAGGAGCTGGGCTTGGCCCCTTAGTTCCAGTGAAAGGAACTCTGAATGCTTCAGCATACCAAGACATTTTGGACAATTCCATGCTCCCAACTTTGTGGGAACAGTTTGGAGCTGGCCCCTTCCTCTTCCAACATGACTGTGCACCAGTGCACAAAGCAAGGTCCATAAAGACATGGATGACAGAGTCTGGTGTGGATGAACTTGACTGGCCTGCACAGAGTCCTGACCTCAACCCGATAGAACACCTTTGGGATGAATTAGAGCGGAGACTGAGAGCCAGGCCTTCTCGTCCAACATCAGTGTGCGACCTCACAAATGCGCTTCTGGAAGAATGGTCAAAAATTCCCATAAACACACTCCTAAACCTTGTGGACAGCCTTCCCAGAAGAGTTGAAGCTGTTCTAGCTGCAAAGGGTGGACCGACGTCATATTGAACCCTATGGATTAGGAACGGGATGTCACTTAAGCTCATATGTGAGTCAAGGCAGGTGAGCAAATACTTTTGGCAATATAGTGTATATCGCTGTTTCACCTGAAGTCTGTCTGACATGTTGGCTGTTTCTGATTATAACCAAGAAAAAGTAATGCTAAACACAAAATACAAACTTGCATAATATATAATGTATGACTCTTGCTGTGATGGGAGTATGATCCCACAGTATGTGTGGTATTACCTTAAGAATATTGAACTAGATTAAATGGTAAAAAAAACTAACAATATGTTTATTTTTGCTTTTAAAAAAGATAAAAACTATACTACGTGCATTTTATTTAATTCTAGTGTTAGATTTGAACAAATAATAATAAAAAAGAATCACATTTTGTCATCTAATTTCTGAGATGTTTTTTTTATTTACACAATGCGTTTGGATTAACTCTCTAAACAGCAAATTATCTTTAGCAAGTAAAGGTTGAAAGAAGACAATGGCTGTCTTTTCCTGCAGCTGGGGGAGATCTGCATTTAAGTCGGACCAGAAGCTGGGATTACCGAGTTAAACCACCTAAAGACACACCTGAGCTCTCCGCTGATTAGCTGTCACACCCCACAATCCTTATGTTTTCACCAAAATGACAGAGTGCAAACCACACAAGTAGAGCTCAATCCTCCCCTTCTCCAGGCTTTCTCCTTCCCTTCGGCTTCCCAGTTTGAATCAATCTTTCAGTAGGAATTCATCAAAAACAATTAGCCCCCCTCCTTACATCAACAAGCTACCTCCCTCTTCCCAACGTCTGCCGCTGCTGGGAGATTTAGCGCTATGGACGGGTTCGGTGGGAAAAGGCCATCCTCTCTGGTGCAAGTGAATCCTTTCCAATTAAATCTAAACAATCAGTCAGTGAGAGAGTTAAGAATACAAGCAGGCCAGAAGGCCAAAGTGCTGCTGCTGTCACTGCTGCACAACCACCTGTCCTGAGATGTCACTGCGTCCAAGGGGGGCTCCCAACATCCACCCTCACTCCCTCTGAGCCCCTTAGCAATAACACCACCCCCACCGACACACACATCCACCCTTACCCACTTGGAGCCCAAGCTTTAGCCTGCCCAATAGCAGCACAGCTGGCCTCAGCCATCAGCTTTATGGGGGTGAATGTCTTGATGCCAATTAAAAGGGCTGATAAGAAGAGTGCTCTGTTTATGTGTGTATGTGGGAGGGTGGGGGGGAGTTAGAGAGAGTGGCTGGGAGGTCACAGCAAGTAAGAGAAAGTGTGCATGTCAACTCGCTCAGATACTCATCTATTTATAGTAAGCTCACAACAGCAAAGAGAAAAACATTGTAACTTATTTTTGTTTACACCACTAAGATAGACATGACATGACTGACAGATACGCAGGAGGACAAAGAGGAGGAAAAAAGGCTGGTTGATAAAGAAAAGTGATAGTTGTTACTTAAAGAGGCACCAAACATTTGCGGTTTAACGGTGTATGCTTTGGGTTGGTTTGCATGTGCCTGATCAGACAGTAGGATAAACTGAAACAATTTGATGCTCAGATGAGTAAGCAATTAGTAGTAAATCCAATCAGTTTGCTCAACCAACAGTTATCTCTTGTGTGAACGCTGCTATTAAACATGATTGGAGACTTACACAGAAATGCATGTATACTTTTTAAGGCGATACATGTCTGGACCAAGAGACATCAACTTTCCCCTTTGATGAAAAGATGTGCCGTTTTGAAGTCCTTTAAGGCAGGACAGAAAACTAGATTTCCTATGAGGGTTGCTTAATAAAAAAAAAATAATAAAGGTGTCTATTTGAAAGTATTTCCGACATTTTTGATATGTGTTGCCCTGTTATCAAATATGAAGTGCTGCAGCAGTTCCTTCCTCAACCCTAAGCAGTTCCAGGGAGCCTAGTCCTTGTGAAGCAGTACACTCCAGCAAAGGATGTTTACATTTCCAAGTCTAGACTGGAAATCATTCAAGCTCACCATTGATTTTTTTTTTCTATTGGCTACCTTTGGTTCATTTCTTTCACTTTGATTGTATACAAAAAATAAATAACATTTTCATATTTGAGTTTGACTTAACTAGGCTCCAGTTTAAAAAAAAACTTAACTATAAAACTTGAAATAAATAGAAAAGTCGCAAAAATGGTAAAAAATCTAAGATAACTCTGCATGGGTTTCTCTGTTGTCTCTGTTGCCATTTGGATCTATCCTTAAAAAAACATCTGTTATGAATATGTACCCATGGTCAATAGCAGCTTTACTTGCTGATAAGTTAACAACCTTTTGAAAGAGAACACAAGACTTTCAATGGATAACAGGAAGGCTACATCTATAAGAAAATGTGTTCTGATTCATCCTTTTAAGAATTAATTTAACTGGTCAACAGTGTTCATGGGAAAGCACAGAGAGATTGAATTCTATGTCATATTAGCTACACTACTACAATATATGCCAGTAAAGACATTATTATCCTTTTGTCTATTTTTTTTTTTTTTGTGGAAAACTGGTGGGTGTCTAAAGAAAAAAAAAGTGTAAATGTGTCTAAACTGGGCAAAGAACTAGAAAAAGAGGGAACAAAGGGGAAAACAGGGAGACAGAGAGAGAAAAAGAGAGGGGCTTTAGAAGCTGTCACATCCCATATGAGCTCTGATGGAATGGGCCCTTATGGAGTAAAGAGTGTTTCCTGTTTCAGAGGAGCCCATTGCAGAACCCTATGGGTCTTTGCATGTCAGTTGCTGTGTGTGTGTGTGTTTGGTGTGAGTGCCCCTCATCATGGAGCTAAAGCTCCCTAAGCTTTAGCTCTCCCAATACCCAGCATGCAGGCCTGAGAATAAAGTAAATAAACACTGGAGGGTCGTGGGGCAGCCCTCCTTCACCCCAGAAACAAAACACTGCCCCCATCAAACACCCCCTCAATACTAGAACAAAGGCAGAGAGCAGGAGCGGCAGACATTAAGCTTTCTGACACTTGAGAAGCAATATTTCATTTTTTGACTTCAAAACCCAGTCAATTTGAGATGCTGTGTAAAGACTAAATCAAATGACACATGGATTTATTGATGACTTTACTATGAACAATAACCCTACATGCTCAAGGAAAAAAGCCCCACCTATGACCCGGACAAAACCATGAGAATATAATTCTGCCTTATTTCCCAAATAGTTTGTTTTTAAAGTTTAAATTTAGAGGAGCAATTTAAACGAAACAACAAATAGCAAAGCCTGGAAAAGCAAATTCTTTATCTTATGAGAATACACATTGACCTGGGTAAGAAAGTGACCTTCTCCAACAATAAATAGAGAGGCACCAAAATAAAAATCAGTTGCTGACCAGAAAATGCAGATTCCCAGCTGGATCTGATCTGACTACTGACTGGGAGTTTTATTGGCACAAACAAAATTCAGCCATTGTTTTAAATTGGTAAACAATTAATAGCAATGTATATTTACCTAGTGTTTAAAACTAAGTCAATAAAAATGAAAAGCCATATACAAGTCGGTTTAGTTTGAATGAAAACATTTCCTTCAAATACACAGTTATCTTCTTTTTAAGCGATGCATAGTCTCCTCTTTTAAATTTTAAAACTTTCTCTTTACAGTAACTCAACCTTTCTGCTAGCTAACCTTCCTCTGCACAGAAGCTTGTCACCATTGGGTAAAGGTGTATTATTGCACTAACCTTAATATTTAGAAATACAGAGAACTTTGAAATGACCACTAATGTAGAAAGATTTAGCTAGAAATTAAAAAATTGTACTTTATAACTTCAACTGGGTGAAAGATGGGTCCTTTGAAACGTTTGCTGTAGGTAATACTCAGACTAAAGGCATGTTAAAGTTTCAAAAGTTTCATAATTTTTCCTTTATTTTTAAACACTTAAAGTTTTATTATATATTAAAATCAGGATCAATTAGTCAGCTTTTAGAAAAAAACTAGTGTTTCAAAATGAGCCACAAAGTTTTGATAGGTGCATCTCTAACAATAAATATGTTTGTCAAGGTTCATCAACAAATATGTACATGTATATTTAAATCCAAGCTAAGGCAGGTTTAAGAGAATCTCTCCATTTTAATCTGGATCAAAGCCATTTGTCGAACTCAGCCTCCTGGTGCGGTCACCAGGGAGATCCCTGCCTGAAAGGAACGAATTGAGAAGCACTTAATTAAACTAACAATGTGGGATTTCTGAAGAAGAAAGAAACACTCAAGATGTGTCAAGAGACAGTCAGAGTGCAACTGTTGCAAGCTTCTACAGCCAAGCCCTGACCAACCATGCATAGCTCCAACAGCTGCAAAGAGGAGCCAAATACTTGCCAGGCCTCATTGGACCTATTAAAAAAAGAAACAATTATCTGTACATCGAGTTCAGCTCTGTCAACTTACTATGCGCTAAGAGCAAAGTGAATTTTATCCCTTCGCTCAACGGCCGTTACCACATACTGCCCCTTGTTCTCTCCTTTCAATATTTATACATTTTTGCAGATAAAGTGCACTGCTGCTGCCAGGGCCTGATGTCACTCACCCGTCCGTATCTGTTGGCATAAGACCCCGTGAGCAAGGAATGGAAAACGATGATTGTTTCATCCAGGTCCCAGATGAAAACTCGCTGGAGAGATGGCATCATGAAATGGGGTGGGAGGTTGGGAGAAAGACAAAGAAAAAAAAATAGAGAGAAATGAAGAAAAATCAATGGTGCACTCTGTAGAGCTGCAAGGTGATCCTCCTGGTCAATAGGCCAGCAGCGTATATTTGTGTGCCACAGGGACCGGGATCCATTTGCCTGGACTGGTCACCGCAACAGTTCTCTCATCACCCCACTACACACATTCCACCCTCTTAACCTTTACATTAGCTTAATCAATAGTGACAAACTAATTTACTCAATATGTTAACACACCATGACGTCAGCAATATAACGGCATTTAGTATCCTTATTCATATAAAAAAGGTATTAATGAGAGTTTTTTTTGTCTTAATTTGAACACCATCATTTAGTAAGTAGTTCAAGGACTATGACATACATTATCTGCACTGATCGCATTACAGTGCCTTGTTGTTTATTTACAAGTTATACACATGAACTTTATATATGATATGTGTTGAGTCATATATTCCACACTGCTTTTAATAATTTATTGATAGTTAAGGAACTCGCTGTTAAGATTTAATGCCCATCAAGTGTTTAAGTGGCAGCCATAAAGTAAGTGGATTAACATCTATGAGCTTCAGACAGGGTGAGGCTGTCTGTCGCCAAGGTAGCGGGCTCATCCTACCTCAAGGTCAGAGTCGGGCGGTGGTGATGGGTTGTTGTTCCTTCTTCCACGGCCACGTGACTTTCCATCCGAGGCCCGGCGCAATCGATCTGAATCTGAATCTTTAATGGGGTTTGATGGACTGTGGATGGTGCTGTACTCTGCTGAAAGGAAGGAAAGGCAGAGGAAGGAGATTATAAAAGGGAGCACATCAAAGATCAGCTGCTATTCGCTACTCAAAAAAAAAAAGAAAAAAAAAGATGTCTGATTGACCATTTGCCTTTATGCAGGACAGACTGCCTCCTGTGTGAGACATTTTTCAGAGAGAACTGATTTAGAAAAGAAGATAAACATATGATAATTCACTTACAGAACAGAAAAGCTATTGTGCACTGCCCTGATTAAATAAACAACAGGGTAACAGAGTGCAGGCCAAGAAGACATTGAGGGGACTTCTTTTATCTTAACTGGATGACTGCGTGAAACGATGTTAAGTTAAAGCTGGCCGCCGTCTGTGTCGTTTGCTGACAATTTTAAATGCAGTCACAAAATTTGGATTGACTTGCACAGATGCAATCTTAATTGCCAGGTCATGAATTAATGTCACATGAAATTACAATGAATTCCACATCTGATTCCACTTTAGGTTCTTTGCTTTTCCTTTTTTTCGATGCCACACTGTTTTTATGTAGTAAGTGGATACGACAGTTGTTCGTTTATAGTTATTACTGTTATTTTAAACATATTCTCTATACCATACTGAATCAGGCATAATTCTTACCTGCAGGGTTGTCTGTAAGAGCTTGGCTGGTGATCCCAGCGGGGGGGTCCTGGAGAGTATATGTGGTGGTGGTGGAAGGGGTGCTGGGGCTGGTGTTATTACTTGTCATGTAGGGTGAGGTATATGGGGAACTGTTGTAATACTGAGCATATTGGCCCTGGCCAAAACCTGGATAACCGGGGTAGTCCTGAGGAGCAGTGCAATAGGAAGTATGAGAAACATGAAAGTTAAAATCTAAAAAAGACAAGAACTAATGGGAGATGGCAGTTACACCTATCTAGATCTTCCTTGACAAATCTGACTCTGCTCTTGGTTAATGTGTCTATAAATATGGTGTGAGGGGTTGGTTTACAATTAATGATTAAAGAAAGAAAAATTGTTTTGATTTTTTTGTATTTGACCCAATAGGAATTAACAAACGAGAAAATTTGAGTCAAGATTTAGTTAAGTAAAATAAAATATGAAGTGGATGGTGTGGCATAGTAACCTGAGATATAACCTCCACCAGTCTTGCTACTTTACAGAGCAGATTCCAAAAAACATAAATGCAAACATATGTCTGTTCGCTTCTACATCTGGACAATGATATGTCTTGTTTTTCCCCTCTCTTTTCGCTGTGGCATAATACACGTGTTCAAGACCGACAATTGATAATCCTTTTGTCATTTTGAGTGATTTATGGTGGCTGAGTCACGACTAAAATGTAACATATTACGTTTCCTTCTTTCAAAAAGATTTCAAGGATGGGAGCTTGAAAAATAAACGTCACTTAAAACCCATAGCTGTACATTTGGACCAGATCAGACAAAAAGAAAAATAAGGAAAAGTTTACACATACCTGTTGTGTGCTGTTAAAGCCTGTTGAGTTCGTCAATGAGTTGTTTCCTGCATACAACCCAGATGTTGTTGTGAAAGAACCACCTGTAGGGAAAAAGGGAAACTACTATTGCATATGTAATTATATTCACATAAAAAGGTAAAACTAGAAAATAATTTTGCCAGAATATTCCTTTTTTTTTTTTTTTTTTTTTTTGGGAAAAGGTGAACAGAGGGAGTCCTGAGAGAATGATTGGAACAGTGGCCTTATCTTTCTCCTCTTCTTTTCTTATCAGTGATTGGATCAGGTCTGATGAATGACAAGGTGGGGGGTGGATGCAGAACCGGATTCGAAGCCTGCACAATGTGAGGCACAGAGGAGACTTGTGTGTGAACTACTGAAGGGTGGAGTGGAGTAAAAAAAAACAACGGGGAAATCTGTGCGTGAAGAAGAAGTGGGGGCTGAGCTTAAAATGATTGGGGTCGGGTGAGTTTGCTGTTGCTATCTAGTCCTAATGAATATGTAGGCTCTTCTTTTCACTTGCTCGAAGGGTGGTCGTCCTGGGTAATTAAATCATTCAAAAGGGTTGATAAAATCTAACGGCTTAATTATACAGAAGCCATGGGGCAAATGTAGGAAAGGTCCATCAGTCCTTTGGGAGACTGACCAATACTTACCTTGAGAAGATCATCCTTTTAAAGGATCATCTACCATTGCGAGTCACAATATTGTTTAAAAATAATAATCAGAGAGAAAAATGCAGGAACTAGCCTTGAAAAAGGATACCCTAATTTAAGAATAGGAGAATTTAAATTTTACACTATTATTATTATTACTATAAGATGTAATAGTAATTATAATACATATCTATTAGTAGATATGTATTATAATATTAAGTGCACATTATGTTGTAGATATGAATTTTAATATATGCATATTATGTTGCCTATAAATAGCATGATATAGAAGCCAATAGCTAATGTCAAACCTTATTTTCTTAGAACGTCCTCTAAGCACTGTAATATTTTATCGAAAGCATTAAAAGTGAAAGTATCACAGATTAGCATAGAAAAAATTCTGCTGATGACTGGAACTGACTGATTTCCAGTTTTCACTAAACACCAGCTACTCAAATAGTCATTCTTTTTTCAGCCAGTCACTGCCTGCACTGCACCTACAGCATCCTGTCATAACATGGTACCAAATAGAACAGCCTTCAGTATGAGTACTGTTACTCAGCAGAGAGTTTCGTCGCTAGCTATATGTGTGTAAGCAAGGTGTTAAAGAATTAGGTTAAAAGCACTGCAGAGGAGAAAGAAGCTATTTCAAAGGAAAACGTATTTTTGAAATCTGTGTTTATTCAGCAGCTTCTTCTAGCCTTGAGATAATGAGGGCTGACTGTGTTTCATTGGATCATTGATCCAGGAGAAGCTGGATTTAGAAAAGTAAGCAACCTTTAGGAAATTATTAAGGAAAAGATTTCGGTTCTCTAGGCAAATTGACCGCTGTTCTAAGAATCCATAGACTAAACATTTTCAAAAGCAGTTAAATCCTTTTTACATTATTATTAAAGCAAGGTACAGTCACAGGTAACATTAATCCATGCTTTATAAAATACCATCTTTCACTATCGCCAAAAATGGTTTCCAACATTTACGGTAAAAAAAATTCAGGAAATGAATTTACTGTTAGTAGATGATGGGGTCATTACAGCTCTGTTGTCAGAGACAAAGCCTCTTTCTCGCTTAAATTGGCGACTTAATGCAGGTTTTTGTAAACACTGGTTGGCACCCTAACAATTGGCATTTGGCTCCCTTCCCATTGGCCAAAAAGGTGGGTCTGTCCCCCCGCTGCAGCGTGTCTAGTGATGCCAATACAGTGGGTTAGCGTTGATGATGTCACCAGTACGACAAGAAACCAGGAAAGTAAACAATGGAGTGCAACATGGAAATGAGCCAGGGCGTAGTGAGTGTGCCTTATTGTTTAATTTTTGTGTCCCTCTTAATCTCTGTCACCAGTGCTGTGCCATGTTTATTGACTGTAAGCAGAGTGGTTTTTGGTTGTTAGATCAGACGCGACTGGCGTGCTGTGTTGAAGTTTGTACGTTCCGCTTAATGGTATCAAGTAAATTAGCGGCTCAACCCAGGTCTGATTTTCCCACTGTATGCTGGTCAGAGCTGAGCCGTTTGAAGGCGATTTTAATGCGGGTCGTGAGTCTTTCGACCCAGATTGACACGGGTCAGTGAGCCTAGCCGTTGCCACTAAAACCTGATCATTCCTGGGTTTAAACAGGTTCTTTGGCCATTGGGAAAGGGGTAAAACATAGGGAGTTCCTTTCATTTCATCCACTGGTCATTGACCCCATCAGAAGGGCCCTCCCACACCGTGACAAATGTGAAGCAGGTTTCAGAAAGGGGAAAAAAGATATGGAGACATTTCTTTTTTTATGAACTTGTTGGATGGAAGGAGACTGTGATGGGGTAGTGAAAGTTTGTAGCAGCTACATAATGGGAAGTCACAATAGTGTTAGATGTTGTAAGCAACAGCTTGAAAAAAAGAAGGTATGCTCTGTTAGAGTTTGGTCTATCAGCAATTTAATCAAAATGCTTCACTATCTATATTGTTTTGCTTAATTGGTTCAAGATGAGCAAGGGAATTTTTAACAGATTTTTGCTCTATGTTGAAAGTTCAAAATCAAGTGAAAGTACACCAGAACGATGAGAGAGAGAAGGAGAGAAGTGATGCTGTGAAGGACAACAAATTAGCCTAACATACAGTTCAAACAGTCATAAAAACTCTCACTGGGAGTGTTGGAGGGTTGCTCTGTGGAGAACCAGGAGCCACATAAAAGCTTCAGAGACCCCTACTAGCCCAGTGAGAATGAGCCCATGCTGTTGGGTGGGTTGGTGCTGGTTATGGAAGGGAAAAAAGAGGGAGGGGAGGGGGACTGCTGCGGTTCCCCGCGGGGCATGTTTTCTCTCCCTCCCCCTGTCCTCCTGCAGTTAGTTCACTCACTCAAGACCAGACACCATCCCTCCCTCCTATCCTTCTTCCCTCCTGCCTTCTGGCTCCACAATTGGAAGTCCATTTGCTTTGCTTGATCAGTCTCTTTGCCACGGGCTATGTCTATCATCAGTGCACAATATTTGTAGCAGAAGTTTGTATGCTCCACTTGGGAATAGACTATCAAGACCAGATGGGGTTTTACTTAAAAAGAAAAAAGGTAACCGAGGATTTAGCTTTCTTAGTTTACACAGGCTTTGGGACAGAACACTGGGATACAATTATTCATCTAATTAGCATCTGCATAATATCACTCTCTGCAGCCTTTTTCCAACTGATCTTATGTTATAACATTTTACTGACAATAAAACTCCAGATATAACAAAGATTATAAAAAAAAATGCCAATTGCAAAAACTTGTGTGTGAGTACAAACATTAATTTGTTGATCTTGTGTATTGACAGCTGGCCTCAGACTGGTTGTAGGGAAACTGGCAGAAAGGGGCGTATCAAATGTGGAAAACATCTTTGGTTCAGAACCCGCAGGCCTGAGGGCGCATCACCCAGGCAGATCAATAGGCCAGAAAGAGCAATGATGACGGTGTGGCAGTTGGCCAGAGCCACAGTTAGAGATTCCACGGCCAGACAAATGGCCAGTCTGTCATCTGGCATGGATGTTAATTAATGGTGCACTTAAAACTAATATAGAGCAACAATAAGAGACAGCAGGAGAGTGAGGTAAACAAAAACGGAGAAGGAGCATACCACTTAGAAGATCAATCAGAACTCGCTAAAGTAATTTAGCAGCCGTAACTGGGCAGGTTAGCAGCTTGGGTTTGCCTGAACTTGATTTCACCTTTGGGTCTGATTTTAGATGCTTGTGTGAATCCTGCAAGACCCTGACTGTGACTTAAAGGAGAATTCCGGTTTTTAACACTTTTAGCCCATTTTCTGTAGTGTCCAGGATGAAATCGAATAATCGACACCAAAATTTTGACAATTGGTCCTGTCTCTGCTTTTTGGCTCATTTAGAATCCACCCCTGGCTGCTTCAGAATGGCTTCCATAGTGCATGTCCGATAATGTCCTTAAAACAACCTTAAACGTTCTTTTTTTTAAATATGCTACTCACCGGGTCGTCAGCGCTGTTCAATGACGTTCCAAAAAAAGTTTCGTAAAGAAAAAACGTTCCTGTAGTGTTTTATTTAGCATTTTGTAAATCCCATTGAGTTCTGTTGGAATAGTCAATATTCCCCTGCCACCGGAAACGGAAATGGGGCCTGTTTACACAGTTGTAGTCTTTTCGCTTCACTCTGTGTACTCCGACGTCGAGAATCAAGAATCCACCTTTCGTATTCCATTTTCAGAGTTTTTTAAAGTGTTTAACAGAGACGTTAGCACCTCGACGTCGGAGTACACAGAGTGAAGCGAAAAGACTACAACTGTGTAAACAGGCCCCATTTCCGTTTCCGGTGGCAGGGGAATATTGACTATTCCTACAGAACTCAATGGGATTTACAAAATGCTAAATAAAACACTAAAGGAACGTTTTTTCTTTACGGAACTTTTTTTGGAACGTCATTGAACAGCGCTGACGACCCGTTGAGTAGCATATTTAAAAAAAAGAACGTTTAAGGTTGTTTTAAGGACATTATCGGACATGCACTATGGAAGCCATTCTGAAGCAGCCAGGGGTGGATTCTAAATGAGCCAAAAAGCAGAGACAGGACCAATTGTCAAAATTTTGGTGTCGATCATTCGATTTCATCCTGGACACTACAGAAAATGGGCTAAAAGTGTTAAAAACCGGAATTCTCCTTTAATATATTTCGTTAAGAGACTTCTCCATACAAGATCTGCAGCTGATGTTGACTGTTAATGAGAAATGCTCTTAAAGCCTTTTACCAACGCCTCACAGTATTTTAAATTTAACTCAAATCACGTGGACACCCAGTGAACACTCTCTGCACTGAGATAGTTTACCTTAACGGCACAGTTCAGGAAGTGCAGAGTCAGTAAAAAGGATAATAAGTACCAGCTACCTGCCGAAGAGAGGTTGTGTAATTTTAACTTTCCTTTTATTCCGCTTACAAAAGTGCAGCCGTCATACGGAAGATCATTGGTAGTAAACCAACTACTTTCTTCTTTTTCGGTGTAAATAATCATCAGCTGTTGTGTAAATATCCAGCAAGTGCAGGTAAATAAAAAGGTTTAAGGTTTAAAAAGATGTACTGGAAGTGCTTTGCTGTTATGCGACGCAACATGGTTTAGTCATCAGCCTCCAGGATAAAGTTATCTGGATTTTATGCTAAATGAAAACACCAAGAAACATTATTTATCCCCTTTAAAAAAAAACTTTGCCCCAAAAGTCATAAACTAACACCATAAGAGTTTATTTCCATTTTAACAAAATGTACGAATGGACAGCAAGAAGAAAAATAAAGGGAAGAACAGAGAACCACAACTTATCGTTATTGGTTTCAAGGCCATAAATCTTTTTGGTCTCAGCGCTCAAACAAATACAAATATGATCACAGGCAGAAAAAAGAAACAAAACAACAAAAGATGAAAAGCACCATGGCTTTTGCCTCCTAAGTGCCTGACGTTTTTCCATCTGTGTTTTTTTTTTTTTTTTTTTTTAAGAGTAGAGAAGAGGGAGGCATACTTTGCGGCTGCACACCGCACTCATGGGATGGAACCATCATCGCGGGTGAGGACAAGGCCTGTGTCTCGACTCAGTCTGGCTGTGTGTGCTATGAAATCAAAAACAGAGGTCTGCTCCTTTTATCCTTTTCAAAACAATACAGGAAAACTAATTTAATTGGCCAACTAGGGGATGACTATTTATATACAAGGGAATGAAAAACTACAGATGCCAACATGAGATAGACAAATGATAGAAAAAAAAAAAAACTAATTTAACAAGAAATTAAAGCCATCATACTTTCGGATTTCTGAAGAAATTGTTTTTGCGCAGATGTCATCATGGTAACCGTTAAATAAACAACTGTTTTAACCAGCAATCATCCACACATTCTCCTATCAGTGTTCATAACTAGATATAGGCAGAAGTGACAAAAGATGTTCTCACCCTGCATCTGGTAACTGTAAGGGGCCTGTCCCGTCTGTGGTGTGGTAAAGCCAGAGCCGTAGCTCAGGAAGCCCGTCTGTCCCGGGGATTGGGACTGGCTCAGACCCCCTTCGGTCTTTATGCCTGCCCACAATGGACCTAAATCAGTTAGTGACACCAGATCGGTTTGATGCACAGACAACAGTCAACACAGGTTTAAATTACATTGGAGGCAGCAAAGGGACTCTGCCTCTGTCTGTTAGCATAACACAGTAATCACAATGGCTGAGCAGAGATTAGCTGATAACTGATTTTCACCACCCTCCACTGTTTAGAAATATTATCTCGCACACACAAGGAGCTACTTGGCTGTAAAAACAAGGGCATGTTTAGACTATTATTGTTTTATTTAATAATTAAACATTATCATTTAGGTCATAAGTGAAATGATGCACCAGTAAAAAAACATTTTACTTGTGTTTGACAGTTACACTGACCGCCATCTTGACTGAATGAGCCATATGTTGTTTCTGTGCAACAGTAGGTTGCAGGGCTCCATTCAAATAAACAGCACAAATTCCTTCACATATTGCAAACGTTTCTGGGGTCAAAACGCTCCAAAGACTTTAGAAAAATAAAGACATTTACTCTTTGCTTTATCTTCCAATGCCAGATGAAACTGGTTTCTGTTTTCAGATTTATATCTCTAATCTTTCTGATCTATCTGAACAGCTTCACAAGCAAATTCTTCCACAGTGCAATCGGCAAATATGCTGGCACTAAACAACAACTCAGCATCTCTGCTGCTCTACATTTGCTGGGAAGAATCATGGGAATATGGTTTACTAAAGAAAAATTGTTCAATACGCGTAATACCACAGCTGCTAAATAACGAAATGATTTTTCTGATGCCTGTAAATCTTACCATAAGCAGGGATGCCATAGGGCTGACCAGGCTGAGGGTAGCTTGCATATGCTGCGGCCTGCTGCATTCCTGTGGTGTACTGCGTCTGCCCGTACGCAGCCATGTTTTGAGACGAAGGAGTCGGCAGAATATGTGGGTACGTCCTGCTATAAGAGGACAGAAACAGAACAGAAAAGTGAGAAAATAAACCAGGAAGAGCCCTAAAATTACCAGCTTTATTAACTGCTAAATTCTTGTCATTGTTATCCTTAAACAATTGGCCAATGGATAGCGTCCCAAAGCTCATATACTCAGGGAAACAACAATAAATGGAAAAAGGAAATTTTCACAAGATAATAATTACAACAGATTTCCGAATGCACAGACTGAAGACGTCCAGGCAGACATAGCCAGTCAGAAAGACGCAATCTAACAGAAGGATCTGATTAAAGAGCCAAATGAAGCTGGATGCTGCTTATTTTTTTAAAGGAAAAATAAAAGAAACCTTACTTGGAAGGGTAAATCTGCGGAGAGAACTGGTGAGTTTGTCTTGGGCTGAAGCCACTGGTTCCAATAGCTGAGGAGAGTTAAAAAAGAAAAAAAAAAGAGGCAAGCACATATTTAAACATTAAGAAATAAGGTAAATATTATCTTCTGCCAAAAAAGAACTGCTGGACTTTAAGGAAAGGGCAGTAACATTGCTCAATTTATTGCTGTAAAAGTATATAATGTTAAAAACAGGGGAGCAATGAACGAATCAAAATATCAGGTAAGTAAAAACTTTGTTCATTTTTGGGTTACTTCAAGGCTCCAATGACGCCCACAGAAATGTATAAATTTCAACCATCAGAAGAAGAAACTTTTTTGAATGCTTTTAATTATCGACACACAAAATTACTGACTAGTGTCTGGGAATGACTGACTTTAACTTAATTAATCCTGATCTGTAATCAGCCGTTTGGACTGTAATCAGCCTTGTTTGTTCAGATCAATATATGCAACATATCTAAGCATACTTCAACTTACTGACATAACCACATTTAAAAAATAGATCAAAGGAAGAACAAAGATAAAATGCTTTCATAAAGAAAACTACAACGCATCATAATATGTCTTATCCCACTTTGGCTGTAAAAAGACGAGCGCGAGCAATACTTTCAGTGAATAACCTGATGGCTGAACAGAATATGGTAATGTAGCACAGCTTTAATATTTTGAATTTTTATCTTCTGTTTTTTAGAACATACGGGGTGTGAAAATGTGACGCTTTTAAAACCCTAGAATTAAGATGATGTTCTACATGCTTTGGGTAATGCAGGCACTGTGGTTATAATCAAGCTTATCACAATTAACAACACTAATTGCTAATTTAGGTTGTTGAAATCTATTTGTTCCCCAATGGGCTCTACTATTAATGGAAATAATTAATCATTAAAAATGGCAGAAAAGCTAGAAAAATAATTTTTCACAGTGACGGTGCAGGTGCTGCAGCAGTTAGCTCGCACGACCCATATATGGAGGTCTTAGTCCTCGACGCGGCCGACCCAGGTTCGAATCCGACCTGAGGTCCTATGCCGCATGTCTCTCCGCCTCTCTCATACCCCCCTTCCTGTCAGCCTGCTGTAGAAAAACGAGCCACTAGTGCTGCAAAAACTCAATATATATATTTATTTTTTGTTTTGTTCATGTTCTGAAACATGACAAAAGCTTGTAAAGAAAAATAGGAATAAACTAGTATCAAATGGTTGTACATCTCGACTTAGCTTTCAAGCCACAATGACAGTAAAAGTAACTTTTAATGCAGGTAGAGTGGTTTTGTGAAATTTTACAGCGCTAAAAATGTACCGTGGTTTAGCCATTTAAAATAAAATACCTGATTTTCTGGTGAATAAAGATGTTCAGTTTGACTTTCCTTATATTACACAGCTTCTAAATTGCATCAAAATTATTTTTTCTTGCACTATCAGTCCTTGTTTTATTTATTCTTTTTTTTTTAAGTATGCAGAAAGGAATTTGATTTAGATTTAGAAAGGGTAGGGGATAAGTTGAAAAGATCATTGGGCCAGGATTCAAACTAGTGACAGCCACATTAAGGACTTAGGCCTGGGTTGCATGCTTATCCCCTGCACCACCAGGCCCTGATTATAACCCCATAAATGGTTTAAAAAAGTAAACATTTCTGTCTCCCTCTAAATAGGAACTGAAAGCTGTCAAATCACTGTTTTTGGCGGAATACCCAGAAAAAAAGTGAATAATGCTAAGAAAAATAATTCTAATAAAAAATTTGGACTGAAAACATGCAAAATAGGAAGGTTTAATAAAACAAAAAGTCTCCATGATTTGACAAAGAATTAAATTAGAACATATTTAATTTTAAAAAACTTATTCAAGATTCCGATCTGCTGCTTTTTATTTCTTCATTGAAGGGACACAGTTTTGAAACATCTTTCTAATTGGTCATGACATGCTAAATGAGGGATTCTGTTGCAGGGGGGCGCTTACTGTATGAAACTGTATGCCGTAACCCCTCACACACGTTATTAATACTGAACACTTTTCCCACATCGGCAGCACCTGCCGCTGGACAACACTTTCTCCTCTGAACAGAGCTTTGGGTTTCCCCACGGAGGATACAGGGTATAAGATTACTAAATTTCATTAATATTGTCATAGACAAAACTATTGCAGTGATTTGTGCTGTTCTGGTGTTAAGTATCGCAAACTTAGTTAAATGGCAGAGAAAATACATGAAAATCTGCAGTAAGGTAATACCACACACTGCAATTAATGAATTTTACACAAATTGTCACATTCTGGTGCACAGTGATATTACAGAGCATGAAAAAAGAGATATATGCTATGTAGCCTTGGTATTAGGTAGTAATGCATTTATGTATGTGTGTGTGTTTGGGGGAGGGGGGGTGTTTTTGTATAATGTTTCTTTACTGAAAGGAAGGTGTGAAAACACTGGCTCTGACAGGGTGATAGGGTAACAGTCCGTAGAGAGTGAGGACCACAGGGATGCCGTGTCACTCCACTGGACAGACAGACTTTGAGTTCTGCAGGTCATAATTCAGGTCTCACCGACATGGGAACCACCAGAATGAGCAAATACACACACGAAAGCAAGCACAGCATATAAATATGCTGACAAAGTCAAGAAAACGTATTTTGTGCCCAAACATACAGCAATACAGGCACACCTTAGGCAAGATTCGCTGCTGGGACACCTACTAAGGCTTGACTTATCAGCCAGCCATCTTTAAGTTCATCACATCATCGACTTTGTTGTGTTTGTGTGTGTAAATCCAGTCATACTCAGAAATGTTCACAGGAGACAATTGTTTCTCCCTTACCTGATCCTGAGAAGCTGTCTAAAGCGGAGTCTGTGATTGAAGAGGCGATTTCACTGCTGCTCATTGGCTCTGTTTTAACTGCAAATAAAGAGGTCACACTGTCACCAGACCAAGTAAGGAAATAAAATAAAACCCTTTTATTTATATGACACATTTTGCTCTTTCTAAATCTACTCCAAAACTTATAACAGCTGAAAGGTCTAAGCAGTCAGACTTTTTTTTTTGAATTTCAATGTCTATAAAATAGTTTTCAAAATAACAAATAAATAACTTATATTTTATATTATTATGTCATAATTTTTAATTAGAGAAGCAAAAATAAGGCTTTTTCTAAGTTAGCTTACTTTGGTTTAGTTTTCGGCTTCACCTAATAGTTCAGATATTTTAACCTTCTTTGGATGTATAATTTTTTTTTGTTGCTGTGAGGACCTTAACGTGGTAAAATTAATTGCTAGAGTAAAAATGAACTGCAGGTAGTCTTACAGAAAATTAAACATTTCGAAAATAATTTTAACTACATGATGTTTCATATTAAAAATAAAATTCTCACTTTTCATTATTTAAGCCAACCAGGTAAAAATAGCTCGATTCCCATCTCTGACCAAGTGTTCATTAAATGACTTTAAAAAAACAAACAAAAAAAACATAATAAATCTATAAGTTTTAAAAGCCATTTATAGTAAGTATTGAAATATTTCTAAAACTGTAAATTTTAAGTTTTCACACAGCAGAATAGACAGATAATATTTGACTAAAAGTTGCCACCCCCCCAAAATGAAAATACTTAAAATATCAATATTTGAAACAACAAGATAGCAATGCATGGGTGCACTTATACCTTTAACAGAAAATTAAACTAATGCAAGACATGCAACTGAAATTAAAATGTCGAGGAAATATATAGCGTATAAAATCTTTTTAAGGGTGTAGCGAACGCTGTTTGACCTTGACTACTTTATACAACCCAGCAATAGATTTGCAAAGACAATTTCACAGCTCTCTGACAGCTCAGGAATCTTTGAACTCAATCCATTTCACTTCAGGCGGGCCAAGGGATTTGTTTTCTTTTTTTTTCCTTTTTTGTGGCAAAGCAAATTGACAATGTGGGCAAAGTAGTCATGCTCAGTAGAATCCCTCATGGCTGAAGAAGCCATTTGCTGTCATGTTTTACATGTTTCTGCATCGCTCGCACACATGTTGATGAGGGGCAACACCTTTGAACAACACAACGGTAAAAAATATGTCACATAGTGCATGCATGAACTAGCACACACCGGGGGTCACGTTGCAAACAATAACCACTATGCTCAGGAGGCGCAGCATGGAGGATCTGAACAAAAGTTCCCAACCTGACAACTCAGAACAATGAACTCAAGGCGAGTTGGTGTCAAACCATGCTTGAAAAAAAAATACCAGAAAATCCAAAGACTTTAATTAATGAAAGGCACAATAGTTGAGGCAGTTTTGTAATTATTACAACTTATAAACTTTTTGTTAGTGTGAGATTGTGATGAACACAAATTTCCTTCGAAATTCGAAAAAGAGGGAGTGCTCCTTTTCCAGTTTGGATAACACCAAGTATTGTCCTTTCATTGTGTCACTAAAAGTAGACAAACCTGCTGTAGACTGTGAGTTAGAACCTAACAACCAGTCTGCAGTGGTGAGCATTGTGATGTTATCACCTATGGGAAAGACAGAATGGCAAAAGGCACATATGACACTCTGCATGGTGGAAAAAAAAACAAACAATTAGCCTCGGGCTAAGATGAAACCTTGTGATCACAAGGCATGGGATGATTTTAATAATTTGTTGGGTTGTGACTGCTTCACTAAACAAAGGCTCAGATTTAAAGCTCAGGCGAATCACCTGAGCAAATAAGTATGTACAGGGGAGACCACATTCAAAACTCAACCATTTCCATGCTGTGGGCTTTGAATAATTACATGGTTGCCTGAATAAACAGCTAATAGTCGCTGAGAAACAACAACTGGCACGCGACTGTGCAACATACAGATACATGGGTAAAAAAATTGTGTCAGGACATCACAAGGGCAACTTTAAACAGAAAATTTCAGTGCAAAAGAAAACTAAGTGTCTTTAAAATGTTTTTTTGTCACTGTTGCTCATTTCTATACATACATTTTATTTAAGATTCTTGATTATAACATAATAAACGTACCTTCTGTGCCATTGGGGGTCATGGAATTGTTACTGATGTGGGAGTTGTCGAGGTTGGGACCATTAGGAGATTCGCTGCTTCCACTTACTCGGCTGTGAGGACTGGCTAGATCCTGCATTTCCATAGACCTACAAGAACACACACACACAGACACACACTTAACAAATCAAATTACACAAACCATTGTAGTTTTAGGAAAGACAAAGATTTCTGACATCTAATGTCGAGTATAAAGAATGCCTGGTTTGAGAACATGAAGAAAATGCACGAGTATCTTATTCTATAGATGTGTAACAAAAATGTTTCGGTGTTTTTTCATAATTTTACAGCATGTTTACAGTAAAATTTGTGTGGTGTTTCATGCAGCTGAAATGACCTTAAGTGTATATCGTTTTTTTGTGGTGATGATGAGTGCTAACAGATGTTTTGCTGGTTTGAGGGAATCCTTAATGTGTTAAAAGCACAACATTCTGCCTTATTATAAGAGCCAATACCTCGGTGATGGGCGGATGAGAACTTCATGAGGCGTGTGTTTGCTCTGGCAAGCTCCTTAATTGTTTCTGTGTTTATACAAAAGACCACGCCACAGAAAACATTATTCTATCTTCTCATCTGTGCACTCAAAGGATTTGATCGTCCGCAGACAACACTGTAGATAGAAGGCATACGAGATTTGGAAGAAGAAGAAGAAAAAAAAGAGCTACTGTTCCTCCTGCAACTATTTTAGGATTTTTGTTTAAACTTGACTTAATCTTAAAGGTTCTTAAAACTAAAGCGTTTTACAAGGGTTAACTATAAAATTAGGTGCTTTGATTACCACCTACATATAGATACACACACACATATATATATATATATATACACACACACACACACATATATATATATATATATATATATATATATATATATATATATATATATATATATATATATATATATACATATACATATATATATATATATGTGTGTGTGTGTGTGTATATATATCATTGTTAACATGTTTTTTTTATTAACACTGCTTTTATATTTGGTTAGTACTATGGATGCTTGCTCACTGAACAAAATTTTAAGGGGTTCTGAATGTCAGAAGTTTCAATTATTTTATACTTCACCTTTATCTACTTTCTTAGCATTTTACAAATGATAAAACTGGCTGAGCTCAAAAGCGAACAACAGACAAAAAACACACAAAGAGAAAACAAAGCAAAGCCAAACTAGACATATAAAATTGGTTATGGAAGCTTCAATGTCTTTTCCCCAAAGGGTGTATAAGTTTACTCATCCTAAAATAATCACACCCTACAAACTGAAAATACTTGACAAAAGTCCAGGGACACTGAGTCTTTTCCTTGCAATTCTCAATCATTTGCTCTCCTACTTTGCCCCAAATTTCCACTCATGGCGTGCCAACTAAAAGGGCTACTGCAATGCATGCTTTCTTCAGTTAGGAAACATATTTAGCAGTGAAATGCCCATTTTTACAGTGATCACTGATGCCATAGACACAGCTACATTTCTTTGGGGATTTTCGAACCGCCACAATTCTGCTCTTACCTGCACCTAGACAGCTCTGAGTCCTCCCAAACCACACTCCCTTTTCTTTATTCAGTCTCCACCTGCCCCAGGCAGGAAACAATGTTAGTCCTTGTTAGTGCAGCTCGATGTCACAGTCCGGAGCCATCCATGACACAAAAAGGCTTATCAGAGAAAACATTATTGTTATTCTGGAGCAAAATGGGAAGAGAGGGCTGGCAAGGGAACAGAGGCCCACATTGTCTGTTTCTGAGCTTCAGCCTGCTCCACTGTTGTTTCCTCCTCCAGGTCCTCCCTCCTCCCTCAGCAAGGGGAGCATGGCCAAATGACGGAAAGGTGATTCATCATTGGTCTACGACAGCTGCAAACTGGATTAGCCCTCCCCCAATCAACATGCAAAGCGGCTTAGCCAAGGTAAGCAGGAAGGGTGTTGGGGGGGTTTGGTGAGTGGAGGGGCTAAAGGAGTTAAGGTAGGCAGCAGGGTGAAGGGTTGGGGGGTACAAGGGGTTGAGGGGAAGCGGGGTGTGGGAGACTCTTTCTACTCTCCTGCCGACTGAAAGAAGATGGGACTTGTTGAGCAGAGGCAAGTCGACCGTGACACCCCTAGCATCTTCAGCAGATCTTTCATCTACAATTGACACTATCTGAATTTATCAGCACTCCTCCTCCAGGCAAAATGACAGGTCCTAATGACCATTGGAGCTTCTTCCCACAGGCCTGCCCAAGCCTGTGGCTATTACCCAGAAAGAAAATACAAAAAATCCTCACTTCACAACCGCTCTGAATAATCAGATGTCTACACAAATGTTTAGATATTCTCACAGTCTCAGCAGGCTGTTTTTAAGCTCCTAAAATCTAATCATATTGTTTGCATAGTTTAAATTGCTAACAGTAAAAGACCAGAGAATGGCTGATGCGACTAATATAGAACAGCAAACCTAACCCTCCCACAATTATTGCTGCACACTACTGGTCAGCTGGCTAAAAGAGGGCTACTACCTTGCCTCTACAACGAGAAATAAAACTCAGCTGTTTGGAAATTTCTACTGCCATAAAATATAAAAACAAATAGATTATCACAGATCACTGCATTCACATAGTTTCAATGCATTTTACAGCTGAAAATAATAACAGCCAGTTGTGCCTTTTTTGAAGCAATGTTAAGTGTAATAGCTTTCTTTCAGCCAGCTGATCAACAACTGAGAAGCATTGTGTTACCAGAAAAATCTCCTGTCATTCAGTCATGTTCTATGGTATCTAATTGGAAAAACGTTAAACTTTAAAATAGATAGGATGGGAAATTTTACTTTTCTAACACATGTTTTCATCTCAGCAATCTACCATTTCCCTGTTTGAATTACTTCCTCTCGTGACAAACATTATTATTACTAATCATCAATGTAATATTATTATGTAGGAGTAGAAAAAAAATTATGAAATTGGTCTCATTTAAAACCTTGTTATAAATGTAAAATTACACTAAATGTGCTTTGTTTTGACTTAAGTTAATATGTAGCAATAATCTCATATCTGCCAATGTCTAGTTATTATAACACAAAAGTTTATGTCTATGTCTTATTTTATTTTTTTTTAGCAAAAATACCTATAACTCCTGTTGGATTGCTTGCATATATCATCCACAGGGCACTCAGGGGCCCCAGATCAGAGTGGTGTAAATGCACACACACACACACACATCTCTCAATGACTCACACACACGGGGCACTTTAGAGGCCCCCAGATCAGTGGTGCATCTCAGACAATGAAGCAGACTGGAAACAAGAACATGGAGAGCATATGGAGCCACATATGTTTCCTATGACGCTGCGAATGCCTCTATTACTCTCCTTTAGCTGACAGTTACATTTTGCTGTCCACTCCCGCTAGGGCCTGCCTCTCTGCAAACATCAAGCGGGGCCTTATACTTGCGTGGTTATGGTGCTATATGAGACTTGACTCTGACCCTCTGTGCAAATAGAGGGTCCCAAAAAAAGGGTTAAAGGCATTCATTTGTTCAGGGAAAAGGAAGGATGCAGTTTTCTTATTTTTCAAATTCTAGCGAGATTTTTAATGGCCCACTGTTTACATGAGCAAAGGTAACCTGAGCTCCATGGTCTTAAGCTTCTTTTTTTTCAAACAGGCTTTGCGCTTCACACCATAGCAAAGCCTTCATGAATACCATTCTATCTTTACAATTTGCCTTCTCTCCTAAACTTTGCAGCTGAATATAACCATTACAGGCTATTCTGTAAAAAACAAAACAAAACAAAAGCAAAAAACGAAACAAAAGAATAAAAACAACAGAAAAGGTGAGTATTTCCCTTTAACACCTAAATTAAGGGGAGTAAATATAAAATAAAATACATGTCAGAATAATAAATATTATTGCTATTTCCATAGAGCTAAAAACTATGAAGACAAAAGAGAAACGCATTCTGCTACAGCACATTAACAGCGATCATGACTACAAAGGTGGTGGTGGGGGGGTGGGACTGCTGGTGGACTGATGTGGGATTGTGAGTGGTGAATTGGGCAACCCGAAAAAGCCATTACCATTCTGGCGTTTCTACCAGCGCCTGCAGGTAGAGCTCACCAGGTGAAAAGATGAATAAAGAAAAACAAAATGAAGATGGAGGCTAGATTTATAAAATGGATCATAAAATAACATTAGTTGATAGAGAAATAGGGCCACATTAAGCATCTTTGATGTCCGTCTTACTTCAATCTGAACTGGCAGGTCTTTGAAGCCTTCGTAAGAACAAAGACCAGCTAGATGAAGCGCTAGAAGTGTCATCAAGAAGACGTAGTGCCACAACAAGCTTCATTCACCGTGGTTTGCTAGCCTTTTAGTTTCGCTTTACTTATTTCAAGGCCTGCATTGCTGAAGATAAATAAAGCCCTAGCCAAGCTTTTAACAGAGATCATCAAAACATGCAGGGCGTCCGATCTGTCTGACCTGTGTTACTATGCATGCGAGGACCTTCTCATTCACATGGATGGTGCTGTTTTAAATGCAAAATCTGGGGCTTGATTAAACTGTTTTTATGAATAAAATAAAAGAAATTATACTCTTTAAATACAGTCAACATTTAATGAGGGATTTTATAGCCTATTTGATGCCATGTATGATTTTGTAAATCTTTGCTGAATAATGCTTTAATCAATATTAATCTTTAGTATGTCTGATTTCCACTTAGGTTGGTCAGCTGAATCCGCATGGTGGCCGAGGAAAAATAAATCTACTCTGACTAGAATGGAGACGCAGACAACAATTGGACACAGATGTGAAGGCTACAAGATACAGTGCATTAAATGCTGAGATTCACTTAAGATTTAATGCATAAAAGAATCGACATTAAATAAGATTTTATTGTATATTTAAAAAACATTATATTAGAGCATTAATAAAAAATAAAAAAAATAAAACACATATTCTTTTGGAAATAAATGTAAAATCAGACCCCCAAAATATTGCACTACATTTTTTACATGTTTGTCATTTATAGAAAAAAATGTAATTTAACTGTGATTTGTAAATAAAAACATAATTGCCAGCAGATGCTTATTGATGCCCAATTTGTCGCTTTAATTTGGATTTTATCTGGCATCATGCCGTAGCAGATCTCTCTGCAATTACATTAAATGTGTAAATACTATTTTCTTCGACCTTTAAAAATATTTCCAGAAGGTGACTCTTTGCCTTTAAGAGGCTATCAGGTAAATTTAAGGTGGACATTTTGTCACAACCTCCCGATTACCATGGCCACTGCGGAGCGAGGGGAGATTTTTGACATGACAGCTGAAACCAGAAAGCAAAAAGCTTACTGATTTTTATAAGGTGGTATTATATATATGTATATATATATATATATATATATATATATATATATATATATATATATATATATATATATATATATATATATATATATATATTTTTTTTTTTTTTTTTTAAAGGAAATATTATGAAGAATTAATTACCTAGAAAAAAAACTTAAATTTCCTGTAATATTTGGAATAGTGCAATATATAGAGCTGTAACAACAATAATCCTCACATCAGTGTATTTACAAATAAACACAGGAAAGGATATTAGTGATCTGTAATGGCAGTCATCTGAAAGCTCATTTCCTGCTCTTTCAACCACATATTTTAGATTCAAACAGTGGCGTGTTAAGAAAACAACACCCCACGGTATTTAGTAAACACCCCCAGCCCACTAATCACCTACAACAGACTACTTAATAGAGGGTCCCTGTTACCTTCTTCCTTCTCTTGTGCCCTGTTTTCAACTCCCCGTCTTTCCTCTCTAGTCTCTGAATGAAGCTGGACCAATTAGTGCTCTGTGTCTTTCACCATTTTCAATCTCCAGGCCAAGGGTCTAGCCGGCTAGTTGCATCCAATACGGAAGGCATCAGTCCTTAGGCAAACATTGACACCGTCACCAGAGCTCACTGCAGCTACACAACCATGAAGCGCTGCAGCCAGTCAGAGAGACCCTGATCTCTGTCTGTGTAAAGCAAATATGCCGTGCAAACAGCCTTTAAATCAGTCAGCCCATTATCTGTTAATCGAATAAATAAGGTGATTGTGTGTGAGAGAATAGCAGCAGCAGGCAGTCACACAAACTGTCATGTTTGTCTTAATGAAACAGAGGACAATTTGCGAGCAGACTCTTCGCTTTCATCAACACAGGAAGAAAACGAATTAGATGCTGAAAAACAAGTATAAAGACTAACTTCTAAAAGAGACATTTCTGTCATATATACTAACACACCAAACTGTGTTTGTATTATTTTTTACTTAACGTGTAAGTCTGGCATCAAAGGCAAGACATTTAACCAGACCATCCTTCAATTAGGAAGGTTAGTGATTACAGCTGGAGGAAGCATCATCTTTGCTGAACGTAAAACGCCGGCGAGCGGAGACGCCACACAGCCAGTAGTCGAGGCCTGTCGTCTTGGTGAGCCGCTCGGCCGCTCTGCAGCATTCCTGGCCTCAGCAGATGGCATAAGATGTCAGCTGCTTTGACTGTGTTCGTTATGTTGGTTCTGCTTGAAGAAAATGTACTACTGCAGTGCAAAGCGAGCTTTTCTTCCCGAATAAAAAGCTTAAACTTTACCAAGAAAAACTAGACATGAGAAGACTAATAAGTAAAATATTTACAGGTTGATTTTTTTATTTCATGCTATGACAATAATTTTTATTTTCAATTTTGTATCAATAAATATAACATGTTTGACAAATCATCTAAAAGTACTTAAAAAAAAGAGAGATTATAAACCTATTTTGTATTAATTCTAACCAGAGTAGAAAATACATTTTGAAAAATATTTTTGCAACGAGTTAGAAAATTATTAAAAATGAAACAATATTTTTTGGTAATATCAAGCTAGATTCCATTTTTAAATTAAACTGTTTTTGAAAATCTTCAAAACGTTTTTTTAAACTTACTCTTATTTTATTGTACATTTTCAGATAAGGCCATTTTTTTCTATTAACATTATCTCAATAAGTAACTACCGTTAATCTATAACATGTTTTTAAAATAGCTAAAAATAAACACTTTCAGTTTCTATTTCTTTTAGTTATTGCAATCTTGCAAGCTTTGTTTATAAAAATGTAAAATAAGTTTAAGATTTAGCTAAAAAATGTAGAACATAATTTGCAATTTACTGAAGATTTTCAGTAACCAGAAATTGCATGCTGTAATGATAATTTATCAGATAAAAGTACCTATTAAAGAGTCAGAAAAACAAAGGTTCAGAAGACAGGACTGTTAGATATGTTAAAAATGAAAATAATTTGAAAGTTATACTCACTACAATTAGAGTTGAATCCCTGTGTGTTTATCCCCTCTTTTATCCTCCCCTTTAAAAAAAAGAAATCTTCTGGAAAAACGGTCGGCCAGTCCAGCAGAGAGGACAGCCCGCTGTCTTAAACAGCTCTCAGAGTGTTGGTAGAAGCTGTAGCGCAGTAAATGTAAACTACAGGACTACTTTTTTCTTTCTCATTTTAGGTGTTGGAACCCATTGAGCCTAGCTCAGTATCTCAGGAGACTGACTTATTGAGAACGAGAGTTGTCCGATTACTGCTTCAGGCAGTGACTGGTGAGTGTCTGAGGAAGAAGGGGGGAAAAAAGAGAGAGAGAGGGAGTGTGTAAGGGTGGGAGGGAGGGAGGAAAGCGGTGAATGAGTTAGAGGGAGAGGGAGGCTGCTGCTGCTGTTTGAAAAAGCTGAAAAGTTGCTTGGTGCTCTCACAGGAAGACTTTGAGGCTGGAGGAGTCACAGGGGAGTCGTGCCGCATACAAGCTCCCCCATATGTCATTCACTCCAAGCTTTAAGAAAGAGTCCTCTCCAGATTGTATCAGTGCAGACCAAGACAATGCTCAACAGCATGCTCTGCTCACACAGCCCGAGGGCTCAAACTTTTCTTCTCACCCCCTTCTCTCTTGTTTTTGCCATGCTCATTTTTTTTCCCCAACACCACAAACCGCATCTTTTTTTTCTTTGTTTTTGCTTTCTCTCTGAGCTCAGGGTCAAAGATGGATTTCTTTCTGTCACAGAAGGACTTCAGAGGGCAAACGAGGGGGTTAGGTCATTAGCTTTAAGGTGATAGGGAGCCAGAGGTTTAACAGCGGCCGAGAGTCTCGCCTCTGCCCGTCTCCGCAGCACTCTAGTGGAAGTCCTCCGTCAACACATACGCACAGCCTCTGTGTGCAAGGTAATGATTGCCTTCTGTCTGCTCCAGGTTATTTTTTCAACTGAGCGAAGCTGCTTCGTAGGGCCGCGCTGCTACTGATGAGCTGAAACTGGTGATTTATTCAAGCTGGTGATGAGGCCTGAGCAGATTTAGCTGCAAAATGTCATGACATTGTTTCTAAGAATATCATCTGTGTGTATAAACTGTTCAAAATACCAATGAACCGTTTCAAAATTTGTTTAATTTCAACACAGGAAAAAAAAAGCTGCAGATGAAATACCAACTGTAATACTGACAAATGATGATGAAGAAAGAGGAAATCATACATTTACTATGGTAAAGAGGTGGTGAGAGAGACAAAACACCCACGGCTGGAAAAAAAAAAGTCCGCTGTGTTTCTGTCTGGACGTCCTAAAAAACTCTGTTTCCTACTTGCCATTTCCTTATGATAATTAGTAGAAATGGGGCCGATGAGGACAATATCTTAACAAGTTAGTTTCAAGACTTACATTTTCAATCTTACGCTTTCTACAATTAAAAATTTACTAAAGGTGTAATTGAGAGGTACTGGATGTTCCTGTTAAAACATGAGAAACAAAATCCCTTTAAAAAAAAAGATTATTTTACATTTACATTTCAATATAAGTTATTTTCTTTTCCTGTCCAGCTAAATTAATCTAAACTCTGAAATACCAAGTTAAACTTCCGATATAGGCGTGACTGTCGATTGTCGGTTTCTGCTATCAAAGGTAAGAACTATAATTGTTTTTTTTAAACATTTTTCATCGTACTATTCATTCTGATTACGTAGGTTCCTCTTATTGAGATGCCAAAAAAAGTATGACAAATATACTTTTTTTTCTTAGTTTGTTTGAAGCCCCTCCCCCACCTGTTGCTGTACACTGCCTACTGGGTCATTTTCAAACCTACAGATTCTATAGTTTTTTAAACTTCACATGTAATGTCAGAGATAGAAGTGACCAGAGGTTGTTCCAGCTGCATGGAGCACAAAGTAACTCACAACTGTTCCTCCCCAACCTGTTGCTGAGTACGGCTGGTCCGCTTGGTTGAAAGGAGGTTTACAGGAAAGACAATTGTTTTTGTTTTTTTTTGTTTTTTTTCAGAAATATTTACAACTCTCATGAATTTTTAACCAAAGCAACACTATCCATTTATAATTTGAAGCTATTGATTAAAATATTGTGGAAATGCTTTTTTAAATTGACCCATATGCAGACTATATCTAAAGATCTGTAAAGCAATCAACATTAGATTGGTTCACTCAGTAACAAACCAGCTAATATCAAATTGTTATATAAGAAGAGCAAAATGTGGATGATGTTATAATGTTGCAAATCCTTGTACTTAGAAATTTTAACAAATGTGGTGCTCAATCTATATTTATATTCAAGTCTAAATATTAGATATTTATGTTACAAAGATAAAAAAAAATCAATTTTACTATGAAAGAATAAAAGCTGTCTTGTCTTTTAAATAAATGTATCAGATCTAGATCAGATTTAGTTAAGCATGTATTAATTGACCTTTTACCCCTACTTTGGGTATATTAAAATCAATTGTAATGCACTAATTTTACATTAAATTTGGAGTTTCTTAAAATAATTTTAGAAAATATTTTATGTATGTTTTTATTCTTAAATCCTGGTCAGGAACAGTGGTTGTAAATTAGCTTTGGTTGACAACCTCTCCCTGTTGAAGTAGATTAGCTGTAAACTTAGTGTCCAAACAAAACATGGCCAACAAGAACATAGCTAAAGTCAGTAATGAGCAAAATAGTGCAGAGCTGCAGCTCTCCTGAACGTAACACAGCAGTAACAATATGGATGAAAAAGCACTCTCGAATGGGTAAATCTATACTACCACATGATAGCATTGGCTCGTGAAATAAATGTTACATATACCACCTTGCTTATAACTCCGTTGACTAATAAGAGATGCTGGGGGACTCCCAGGTAACTATTTCTAATAGCAGTGGGGCACACATGCCAATCATGTTGCTGCGTTCAGGCAGCGGCCTTCTCTGTGTGTCAATAAACAGCCGTATAAAATTAGATGGGAGACGAAATTTTGCAAGTGAGTTATTTTCAAATTGCATGGTGTAATCATGCAGCATTGTTTATGCCTTAAATAAACTCAGATTTTCCTTCATGCAGTGCTCTGCAGTGTGTGTTTTGAATAAAGGCTCCAATCAACGCAGCAGTTTCACTGGAGATTAAATAAATTAAAGGCTGTCAAAACCAAGCAAGCTTATAAAAAGGACAGATTAAGTTTTACGTTTTTAAATTGCTTCTGCGCAATTTACAAGAGCTCAAGATTTGTACATTTTGAAAAGAAACTAAGAAGTGTTTCTATTGTAGACAATGAAATAATCATTTATACAACAATAAAACCTAAAATTCCCCTGTGTCTGCCAAATGGAGGCTTAGCAGAAGATGCACAGATACGGTCCAGTTGACATAAGTGCTAAAACTGCACTTGCCAAAAACTATATCAAGTAAGAAATTTGAGAAGCAAGCTAAGATTAAATTTGAAGCCGTTCTTTATTAAGGATTATCTTGATGGGACTCAATGGTCTTCATGTGGGGTTGCAAGGATGCCTGTCTGCAATTTAGAGTGAGGAGAGATCTGAAGTGTCCTACACTGCCAATAGGTTATCCCCTCAGACCGAACTCCAAATTGCTGATTCTGTTTTAAAGATAAGGGCTAAGGTACGTTTAAATAACTTTTATTACTTTTGAAGAGACTTTTTCTTTTTTTGGACTTGCAGATGAACCAAGTTTACTTTTCTTGACTTAGAATATACAAACAGTTTAACGGAAGCAGGGACACTGTGACAAGGGATCAATGGTTTTGGATTAAACAAAAAGCTTACACTCTTGTGACACAGTTGCAGTTTTTTCATATGCATGCACTGCAACATTGTTTAGGCAGAGCTACTACAGTGTTTATTCAGCGTCACACTTTGGGGGGATTGAGTTCTGTCTTTGACATGCATCTCAGCGGAGAGTTACGTATTTAAAACCTTCACCCTCTGAACGGGAAATCTGAACCTTGAGATAACTTTGAATAAAATAACACTTTTATATATTTTTACAAGCATTAGCGACTGAAGTGTTTAAATGTTGACTTAAGAGGAATTGCTAAAAACCTTAATTAAACGTGCCTCCTTTACAAAATTTGAAAATCTTGCCCCTCAGTCACATGGGAAAAAGTTTGCAGGACGTCAGTTTGTTAAAGAGCTCTGTTACTGTGAGGTACTGGATGTTCCTCTTTTAAAAAGGCAAAACAAGAGTGGTTAAGTGAAATGGTATACTCTTTCAAATAAATTCTGAAATAAACGTCCTGCTCTGTCCCAAATGCTGTGCTTCTGATAGAGGTGTGTTTTGCTCTATTTAAATTACTCAAGGTAATTTAAATAGAGCCGTTGGCCGGTTTCTCATTTCAAGGTTTTTTGTTTTTTTTTTGTCGGTTTTTAAGTTATGGTTTCAAAAGTTTAGAGCATTTGCCATGACCAAACACTTCTTAAAAGCAGCCACAAGTCCCTCTGGCAAATTCAGATAGATGTAAATGCCAGTATAGTGGGGAAAAAAAGAGGTGCCACAAATCCCCCTTATCAAGGTAACCTGAAAATACAGGCAAGCTTTTGGGATGCTTTATGTAAACCAGTAGGCAGGCTCACAAGTAGTGATTACTTGCTCAATTATTCTTTATCTTTGGTACAAGCTCCCTTAATGCTCCTTAGGGCTGTCTTTAATTGGTATCATTTGCAAGGTAAATACTAACAAATAAACTGTAATGCAAAACTAGTTTATTTATAGCACATTTCAGTAGCAAGAAAACTAAAACTATTGTACATAATAGGAAAACACAAAGATATTTATATTGAATGATAATAGAGAAAATGATAATTCTAAAATGATTGATAATAAAATAAAAGAAAGTTGAATTTCTACCAATTTAAACTATTTATATTTAAGCAGGACATTCAAAGCCACGCTAAAAAATAAGTTTATAATAAGCCAAGCACTAAAGTAAAAATTGTTTTGTTTGGTTCTGGTTATGCAGAGTAGGCTTGGGTCAGAAAACCTGAGAAATCTGGGCATTTTATGCTAATAGATGCAATGATTAATAGACCAACAATTGTTTACACTCTGTTCTACGAGTAATAGGGAGTTAACTTATCAGGACATATAATCTGTTTATTTTTAGCACATCATCAATGTGGGACTGTTCCAATTGTATCCATTTGGGGAAAGGAGGGACATTCAGCAGAACTGTTGAAGTCGACTTGACAAAGAAACACCTAGTGCATGCCTACAAAAGTCTGGTTTTAGCAAATCACTGTAATGATCTTGGTGCTGATGACTGGATTGATTATTCATTTTATTCACCTGCCAAGCTCTGCC